ACAACATTAGGCCCTTCTTTCTGAACATAAGTTTATCAAGAAACCCACAAAACATTGAAAAATCGAGTATAAATGCGGTAACTACGCGTAACAAAAATTAGTGCGCAAAGAGTTTCCTTGCGCAAAGTTCAACTTTGCGCACGCAAATGAGTGTGCAAAGTAATAACTTTGCGCACGCTCGTAGAAAAAATAAATTACCGTACCGAAAACATGTAAACAAAAAAAGCTTAGGGGACAACTGACAGTAAGCGCCGAAAAATTAAGCGGAGCGTTCCAAATGCTCACAACTGTTGAGTGTGAGCCTTTTCCTGCTCAGTTCAGCAGCTTAGTCACTTGGAACGCGCCCATTGATATAGGTTTATCGGTGTTTTCATGCGGCCAGGCATATGTGGCGATCTCCAGAGTTTCAAGTTTAGAAGGAGTTCATCTAATAAACTTAGATACTAATAACATTAAAGCGCAAGTGTCCGCAATTGCTGAATACAACCGATTAAGGTCATTATATCGTCCTGAACTTCCGCGAATTGAAGCTCAAAAAGGACCAAATAGGAAGCATGGGAACAATGATCGAGAGTGGGCTTCACGAAAGCAAGTTTTAGAAGTTCAAGAAGGCGATGGAAGAAAAAGACCTAATGCGTCAAAAAAAAAAGTTGAATTATGACATTATTCCTATTGAAATCCTTAAAAAAATTAGTGAAATCATAACAAAAACATTCCATGTAAAAAATGGCCAAGTCCGCGAAAATACTTATCCCCAAAAAGAAGTGAAATCAAAGTCAAGCCAAGTTCTTCAATACGCATTCGAAAATAAAATGTGGTTTTATTTATTCCAAAATGTTTCAAACTTGGCAAGTACCTGCAGTCAAAAAGTTCCTTTCTTCTAAATTCAACTGTTATTGTTCATTAACTTCATTTCTCATGTATTGACATAATATAAAGTTAAATAAAGTTTTCCAAAGTAATGACCCTTTTTAAATTATTTAATTATTATAAATCTTAAAAATGGTTGCATATATCCACAATTTATTTAGTGGCAACTATAAGCAAATCAACTATAATCTTAGACAAAGAGTACAAATATCATGACAAAAACATGTCATGTAAAAGAACGGCCAAGTACGCGAAAATGGCATTACCAGCTAAATTTAAACCCAATTTAGAACAATAACCCTTTCAATAGGTATTTTGACTGTAGGTAGGTAAGAATAAATAAAGCCACCATTTTATTTTCGAGTGCGTATTGAAGAACTTGGCTTGACTTTGATTTCACTTCTTTTTGGGGATAAGTATTTTTGCGGACTTGGCCATTTTCTTACATGCAATGTTTTTGTTATGATATATATATTTGGAATCAGGAAGGGTAGATCTTTCATCTTATCGCAAAATATACAGGGATTTTCTTTGAAAAAAGTCGAAGTTGTCTACGTTTCTCCATTTTCCGATGCGATTTTGTTTTTTTCTGATAACATTAAAAGAAAATATAGAAAAAAGCTGTCAAGTTTTGTATTTAAAATTTTTTTCTATCTTAATTACTAAAGGCTGTAGGTATGGGTCCAAATATAATCAAATACCCTGTACGTAGATGATACCCAAATATATTATGCGTTTCCACCTTCTGACTACCGAACAGCGATAAACAGAGTAAATTCGCATCTTGTCGCACTTGTTGACGTTTCGAAAAGGCATATGCTAAAATTTGATCCAAAAAAATCCATAGTTGTTCTTTTTGGTAATAAAAATAATGTTGATAATATAACTGATGAGTTTTCCTTATCTATCGGTAACCAAATACTCCAAGTCGTCGAAAACACTAAAAACTTAGGTTTACTTATTGATTCACAGCTTGCATTATCCAGCCACATATCATATTTTCTTAAAAAGTCTTATTGTGCTCTAAAAACCATTAACCCTCACAGATACTATCTTGATCAAAACATCAAACAAGAACTATGTAATTCTGTTATTTTATCACATTTTAATCACTGTGATGTAGTAGTATACGGGCCATGTCTGGATAGTCGTGACTCTCATAGAATTCAAAAGATGCAAAACTCGTGCATTCGATTTATTTTTGGCATGGGAAGACGTGATCGAGTGTCTGACAAACTTGATGAAAGATCTTAAATGGCTTAATATGTCCAATAGAAGGAAATTGCATTCTGGCTGATTGTTCTACAAAATTATAAAACGCTGTTGTCCTCCGTATTTATGTAACAAAATTACTTATCGTACTGATGTTCGCCATTTAAATTTGCGGAGAACTATATTAACAATAGGTACCTACCCAAAAATAAGAACCAATTTTTCAAAAAATCCTTATCTTATATCATTTGCCACCTTATTAATGCCATATTACCTGTTTCTGATTTGTCTGATTCACTTGTCACAATTTAAAAAAAATTAAAGCAGAAATTACTGGAATGCCAATGACATCGTTGATATTGCCTAATGGTCAATGTTGTATTGCCGATTAAATAAGTATAATTATTAGTTATGTTTATTATTTGAATGAATTGATGAATTTTTCATTTTGTCTTTATTATCATCATTATTATTATTTTTTTTTTGTGTAGGTAGAACAGAACTTGCATTGTACGCAAGAGTCTGATACAATGGCTTCTATTTACCCTATTGTTACTCACTATATTGTTGATATATTTTATGTATAATTTATGTATGGTAAATAATAAACGTTACAATTATTATTATTATTAAACCGACTTAAAAACGGTAAAGGAAGATTATAGCCTTAGCTTTCCCCACCCCTGCATAAAGTAGGGGATAACTTCGGTTCTTACACTTTGACTGATCTAAAAATGGTTGTGCTAGACTGTGCTAGCTATTATCCAACCTTCCATAACAGTTTTATGATCAACTCCCAAAAAATCCAAACGTTAAGTTAGCCCCCTCCCCTTCGCATTTGATTCCTATTATTTGACAACGGATAGTTGTGCTATCATTCTTTTTTATTGCTACAAAGAAGTTGTGCTAGCTTTATGGCGCCTCAAGAAAATGGGGGGAGCTAGCGTTAACCTGCCCCCTCCCCGTACTTATAGGGATACATTTTTGTTGCTAGCTCTACATTAGCTTGTTCTAGATTATGCTAGCTCTTACGATACTGTGCTAGCGTTTCGAAAAAAAAATCAATGTCTGGGGGCCAGCTTAACGGAGCTCTATAAATGACCATTCTTTGCAGAATGTAGAACACCACGTATACCTTGGGAGCAACGTGTCAGCGAATGCAACCATTGAGGCTGCAATCCAATATCGCTTGAATTGTGCTAGCGCGTCTACCATGTAGTTGTAATGCCAACACTTACATATGGCTGCGAAACATGGACCGACGAACAAACTTTAGTATTTTAGAGGAGGTCATAACAACTAGTATGGAAGCCCTCATCATCAAGCATTAACTTCGCTAGACAGGTCATCTCGTCCGCATGCCCGAAACACGCCTTCCACGACAGATTCTCTACAGTCAGCTGAAAGAGGGAACTCGAAATCAGGGGGTCAACAAAAACGGTACAAGGTTGTTCCTAGGAAGAATATGGTAGCAGCAGCAACTGGGAGACGACAGCAAATGATAGGCCCTCATGGCATCGATTAGTCAACGACGGACCACAAACTTTTGACGAACAGCGACGTAGACACGAGACCGAGAAAAGGAAGTAGGAAAAGTAGCGAGAGAACAGAGGAAGATATAATGCTGCCAGAAGCTGGGTGTGCCAAGACAGTGGAAGAGTGTGCGGATCCAGAATTGGTTTATATGGCCATCAGAAAACGCACACTCGACGAAAATAAGAATAGAATAGCAGATAATCATATTCGGTGTCGAGTGATCGCCTATGATGATGATGATGATCTTCTCCATCGTTCTGATCATCAGCCTAACTATCTTGCCTACGTTTGAGGCAAAATAGGTACGCAGAAAACCTGTGAGACTGAGGACCGATTTATTAGTGGACTATTAGTTAAACTGATAATATTAATTATTAGTTAACCGACAGCCAATCTAAAATAACTGTCCACTAATAAACCGGTCCTCATTCTTTCAGCTGGATAGCATTTTACCACATCCAAAACGCGAACAATGACGAGAAGTGCACTCTGCACTATTCAGGAAAATTGATTCCAAAGAAAGAAAAGAAACATATAAGTAGAGGACCCGAAGACTAGTACTGTCATTTTTTCATGCAGGGAACCGAAAATTCAGTAAGTTCAACAACAGCGTGATTCCAAATGAACAGACTCAATCTCGCAACCCCAGTAGTAGTTTATTTTTATAAATAGCTCAGAAATATACAGGGTGTCCCACGAGGTTTTACCTAGGTGATAACTTCGGAAGGCGTCATCGAATCTTCCATTTTGTATTTATTTTATTTTTTTCATTTTCTTTAACAAAGCCTTGACAAATCTGGCATTGCCGATTTTGTGACTAAATGTTCTATTGAAATAAATACCTATCTTACTTCAGTATTGCATTCACGTGACTTTAGGCTCTGAATTTCAACGTATTTTCAATTATTCCAAAGTAGATATTTGTATTTTTAAACGTCATATAACAGGTATTTTTGTGATCATTTTGACAAGGTATAAAAGTCACGTCAATGACTTTCAGCTTGAGCGGCGTATAAATGTTATACTCCGGCGAAGTATAACATTTATACGCTGTTATACATTTTCCCATAGCGATTTCAAGTAGTTCACCTGTTCATACAGGTATAGGTGCTTATAAAGGTGATCCTTCCAAATATGAATGTCGTAATTTAAATTCAAAATTGAGCACTTTTTGGAATAAAGATCGTTTGAAAATAAAATATTGTATTTCATTCGAAGTATATGATTCTTCATGTGACTTGCATGGATTTGATTCAAACTTCCATGCGCGTCACATAAGTACATATTACTTATGTCCTAATAAAAGAAATATCTATTTTTTCAAAAATTGAGTCTGAAGCAAGTGATTTGACATATCAATTTATAAAAAAATACGTTCTTACCTGCCGCCTCACGTAATCAACGAGACCTTCAAGACAGGGTTCCATGCAAAAGCTGTGCTGGCAGGGAAGCAGCTTGGGATTCCTGTATCTGTCCAGACATATTGCGCAAGTCAGCAGTTGTTCGAATTGCTCCATTTTCTGCAAAAATAGAAGTGAAATTTATGTGTATTATTTTTGCAGCTGCTTTCTGTGATACGGAAACGATTAAACCAAAATACAGAAGAAAATGAATGGCGAAAATTATGTACATTATGCCATCCGCTACTTTGCCTTCCATGATGGAGGTCGAAGCTACGAGCTTAGTGCAGAATTCATTCCAGTGTCCAGTGAGTTTCTGTATCCATATATAAATGAGTTTGTAATTGGATTTCTCATTGTACATTTATCCACTGCAAATAAGTATGTATGCTCAAGCCTCTAACCCCCACTTAGAACAATAGTATGCCAAATGCTCATTCTATTCAAAACTACCCATGCCTACGCCTACATACATATCCTATCAAATCCGTTCCCAGCTTGCCACTCTAGGAAATTGTGCATAGTAGCGTCCTCACTGATGAGACCATGATTGCCATGATCGGACTGTCGATAGTATTCAATGGTCCCATTAGTGGCAAAGAAAATTGGATTGATTTAAAAAATAAAAGTGGTCCGGACATATTATTCTGAGTGTTTCTTCAGGTTATAAGTTAAACAAATACGAAAGTTAATGCTTCCTTCGTAGGAGTATCGCTTTGTGACGTGCTCAACTCAAAACTGTCAGAAACAATTTTTGAGGCATTTCACAGAATCTAGAAGTGTTATTATAGCACTGATAATAATTACAGTAGTGAATAGTGAAAATAGTCTACTGTATTTTGCACTGCCCAATAAGTCGCTAGGTGAAAAAAAAAATCATTGTTTTTAAAAACATTATCAAAGTAGAATAGATTAGTCAGGTATACCTACCGTTTTAAATAAAGCTAAGGTTATTATTTATTTTTTAACATTCGAATCAGAGACTTTACCTTCCAAAAAGAAACTAAAAAGACTGACATACGGATACGAATTACTTTGTTCTAGTATCTACAGTAACGAGTTCAAAGTAATTTGGTTCTCACTTAAAAAATTTAGATTTTTGTTCAATTTTCAATAAATCGTTATTCAAAAGTTAAGTCTCTGATTCGAATACTTCAATCGGCGCAGTCGGTAGAATTCTTAAGCCGGGTGCAGACTATGTAACATAACATGTTAATAATAAAGTTGTAAAACAAATTTGTTGTAAAACTTTGTTACCGACCTCTGATGGATAACATAAAACATTCTATATAACAAGCAAAATGTTGTACCTACAACATTGTGTTTTAAAACCTTTTTATTTAAAATTCTCTAACAAGTAATAAAACTTTGTTATTTAACATGTGTTGTTACAAAGTCTGTATCCGGCTTTAGAGTGGGCTTATACTGAGAATAGCTTGAGACATTTGATCGTAAAAAGTTTCGAAAACTGGAAACCCGGTCGTGACCTTGTCATGACAGACTTGAAAAACATTGAAAGAATCGATGTGTAGAAAAAGGCTACAGCGTTGGCTGCAGTTATTGTATCGTGTCAGTAACTAACCCCTTCCTTTCTATATCATGTGATTGGTATTTCATATCTAACGCAGGTTGTTTAGTTTAAAAAAAAATCCTCAATCAGATGAAAAAATATACATATACTTAAAATAATTACATCCTAGCCTTTCATAGATAAATTGTTTTGGCGTCCACGAAACTAAACGTAAATCGTAAATCACTCTGTTACATATCATTGTCCTTGCACTTGATAATACAATCTAATGGAAAAACCCGGTCCTGTTCTTCTTAGTTTTCTTTTGATCCCCGATCGTCTTATTGTTGTAGAGGTGTGGCAAGCCTTATGCTTCTTGTCCTCGGGATTCCTCCGAGGATTCCTCTTTTTGTCTCATGTCCTCGATATTTTCCATGGAGTCCGGCACTATTTCATAAGATCGCTTCATTCCGGATACTTGCTGTCGTGTATTTATTTCGAATACTCTGTACCTTTCTTGAATCTTGGTTTCAAATATAAGGTCCGGTGGCGAAGTGAAAATTCCTCTATTTTTTAAATAGAACAGGATGGAACCTGATGTGATAGCTCAAATCAAACTACTAATTATATCCCTGATAATTATTGTTCTAATTAGCTCATACTAATCCAATAATTATGTCGCCAATTATTTCACTATTAGCTCAAATATTTACACATTATATCATCTCGTTAATTTTCCCACTTCTGACACCAAATTTTCACGGTTTTCACGAGCTCACTAAAACTCTCTTTACTAACACAACTTTTATTGAACTAATGGACAAAATTTAGTTATCACTTTTGGCTTTTATTTGACTTTATATACAACAATTCTCTTATTTAAGCTGGCCGACTGACTTACAAACTACGCGGTTTCTATATAAAATAATTTAATCAGGAAGTTTCTAGAATCACGTGAATGCTTGCTAATTTAAATCGCACAATGGAACGAATGCCTGACTATTAGCACGGCTTCTCCGCACCAATGTTATTTCGCAACAATATCCATCTAGTGTAAACATCCACCTGCTTAATCTGCTGACTAGTTCTGACGCTGATAAAGCATGCTCAACTCAATAATCAGCATCAGGAGCAGGGTAGTATCTGTTTAAAATATTTTTGATTTCGATTTTATATATAAATGCTTTTCAAATGCAAGAATAAACTAACCAAGGTATTTTATTTGTAAAATAAAAGAAGTAACAATGCTATAAGTATATTGTATTCCCTGAAAGCGACGGATTCTGTCTCTGCCATAATATAAATAATTGTTCTTGATGGGGATGTACGTTTCCTCGGCGCTCGATTCCAGCATTAGATTTGGAATCCCATTTTTCTACTCGACAATTAAATAAAAGTAAAACCAAAGTAAAACGTTTTATAGCATCGCCAGTTCTCACTATTCTTAAACGCTTGGCAAAATTCCATCCTTGAGAGATGTAAAACACTTCAAATATTTTAACTGAAAATAACTCTATGCGGTATTTCTTTAAATAACCAAGAGATGGGATTCTAAACGATTTAAATGTGTTTTTTTATTTTTTTCATTGGCACACAAATCACACAATATTTTTTAAATTTATTTATATGCAATTAAACTGGGACTAATTAACGGCCATGAAGTCCATTCATCTTTTCTTAAAATATACATTATTCTGGTATCCTATTTTCATTTCTTCTATTCCACCAGACACCAGAGTTAATTTTTTTTCAATTATCATGAAGTAGATTTTTTTGTTAGAAAAATTCAGAAGTTATGAACAGCATAACCAAAAACATAGTTTCATGAAATGATTTCATTTTTTATCTGTAATCATGAAAATATTATGGTAATTCAGCCAGATCTAATATTTAACGTTGGCCACGTAAAACCGTATCGTCACATCCGCCGGTGGGCGTACTCAAATTTTACTTATTGGAGACATATTTTTAACTAGGTAGGTTCTTTGATTTTGTAATTATAATATAATTTGGTTATTTCAATCGCCCCTCACCCGGCGAGTCACGATGTCTGTGGGACAAGTTCTCATTTACAGATTGAGAATTCAGCAATCGGTAAAAATATCCATGAAACGTCCACATGCCCACGCGCCCACACTTAATCTAGAGTGAAAACTAAAAACCAATGAAAAATTCGAGACAAATTTCATGATTACCGATATAAAATTGGAGTGTGGTGATAGTGGCATCGTTTTCAATATTTTTGGGGTTGAGAAATAGGCTAGTAAAACTAGGCCTATTTTGAGCTGAACCTCAAACAAATTCGCTACAAGCTAATTTTTGCGCCATTGTGTTTCTTTTGAGGTTTTATATAACTGGCTAAAAATCCCAAAAAATCCGATATGGGGTGCAGCCCCTAAATCACCCCCAAAAGTACATTTTTTAAGTTTTTTGCAATTTTCTCAAAATCAACAAGTTTTTCGAAAATTTTGCAAAAAACCTTTTTTGTAGAGCATAAAATTTGCAATTTTTTGGTATAACATATGTAATTTATTGTTCAAATGAGCTTAAGATATAGAAGAGTATAAAAATATCAAAAGTAAGATACACATTTTTATTGGTCTTATTTAGTGACATGTGCCTATATTGTCAACTAACTACTTAAAAAGGAGGGCCCGGTATTCAACCCTATTAATTTAATCGCCGATTCGGTCGGATCTTTATTGCAATCCAGCAATAAAATCATATAAATAACGGGCTAAGTCGAGCAACAGACAGACTTGAACCAGTGTCAGTATTACTTTAACAAAATTCTAAAAGGATATGTAAGATTTAGTTTATGCACCATCCGCCACCCTGGGAACACCCCTCTGGAGTCGTCTCCCCAGTGCAAGTACCGCCACCCTGGAAAAGCCCCTCTCTAGATGAGGATTAGTTAAACATCGATAAGCATCCAACGTAGCATTAATTGAACTGACATTCTAAGTAGCGTCAAACGTGTGGCCCTAGCCACCGAAGAGCATGGCATCGAGGATTCATGTACCTGAGCGTCGCAGCTTTCTCTCCATCTATCTATCCTACACTCTCCGTCACCAAGAGGTTGTGACAATATTACTTAACTGGTGTTTACAATTCGGAATATTTATTGTTATACCGAAAGGCTTATATGTAAAATATTATTTATCGCCAACTGTCAGTAAAGCTATACATTACCATTACCATAGCGATTTCCGGAAGTAAAGAAATAGGTACATCATTTCACTGTATATACGGCAGATAAAGTATTGTAGGTACCTGCCGCCAATATTTTTGCAGAGTCGGAGTCCTATGTTGAGAAATTTGTGCTCAACAGAACGAAAATCGCGAAAACGGTTTTAGGTAACCGTCAAATCAAATTGACATCATTGTTGATGTTACCAATGATAATTCTAATAAAGAAGGACTTACGCATTGATAATATATTGGAACTCCTTCGACTTCAAGAATAAATTGATACCATACGACAGGGTGTACATACATTCACGTTCAATATGACAAACAATAAGTAGATTTGTTCTGTGTTTGCTCCTATAATAAAATGTGCTAAGTTATTCTTCATTTTTTACAATTATCAATTTTCACCGTTAGCGAT